TTGTATATATATATAAATTATATTTGTATCTAAATATATCTGTATTTAAATTTAGAGAAGAGAGGGAATTTGTAAGAGAACTGTTTCCATATTGATGCTTTAGTATCCTCCAGAACATTTTCAACTTGTCCTCTAAAAGAAATTGGTAGTAACAAGCTAAATACCCTCTTTAGTGGTGGTATGGATCTTTCAGAAGAGAATTTTGTGCCTCCATACTAGAGATGTCACATTGAGGAAGTTATGGAGTCAAGGTGGTCTTACTTTTAAGCAAAAATGCATCCAAAGAAGATTCTAGAGAAATAATAAGTAATACTTTCTGAGTACTTACTGCAGGCTTGCAACTCTATGAGGTAGGAAATATTATTTTCTCCTTTTTACAGATGAGGAAGCTGAGGCAAAGACATGTTAAGTGACTGAACTAAGGTCCCAGAGTCAATAAATGTGAGAGACAGGTTTTGCAAATGCTCCCATGTACCCAGCGCTTTTCACTATTGCACCCACCTGCCATCACACTTATTCCAGGAGGTGCTGGAGGACAGGGCACTTATGCTGAGATTTATTTTCACTCTGGATGAAGACCTAGCACGTGCGCGTGCACGCTCTCTCTCTCTCTCTCTTTCCATACACACACACACACACACACACACACACACACACACACACAGGGTGTCCCAAAAAATGTATGCACACTTTAACAACTGATAGCCCAATTTTGAAAATGAAATATATTTTAATAAACACTGCCTTTATAATTATTCAGAGTGTGTGTATACATATATAATAGCTTTATCGAGTTATAATCATATGCCATAGAATTCACCTATTTAAAGTGTACAATTCAATGGTTTTTAGTGTATTTAAAGAATTGTACACCACAATCCATTTTAGAAGATTTTCATCACCTCCAAAACTTAGTGCTCATTAGCATTAATTCCCTATTTACCCCCAGTCCTTTCTTCTGCCCCCTTTCCCTAGGCAACCACTAATCTACTTTCTGTCTCTGTAGTCTTGCCTGTTTTGATATTGTTTGGACTCGTACAATACATGGTCTTTTGTGACTGGTTTCCTTCACTTAACATTTATTTGCAAGTTTCCTCTCTGTTGGAGCATATGTCAGCACTTCATTTATTTTGACTGCCAAATAATATTCCATTGCATGGGCAGACCACATTTTATGTATCCACTCATCATGGATAGATTTTTGGGTTGTTTTCACTTTTTGGCTATTTTTAATAATGCTTCAATGAATATATATATATATATATATATATATATATATATATATATATATATATATATGCTAGAGGCCCGGTGCACAAAATTCGTGCACGGGGGCGGGGGGGGGAGTAAGGTCCCTCAGCCCAGCCTGTGCCCTCTCACAGTCCAGGAGCCCTTGAGGGATGTCCGACTGATGGCTCAGGCCTGTTCCCTGGGGAGCAAGCCTAAGCTGTTAGTCAGACATCCTTAGTGCTGTGGCAGAGGTGGGAGAGGCTCCCGCTACCGCCACTTCGCTTGCCAACTGTGAGCCCCAAATGTAAGCCCGCCTTCTGGCTGAGTGTTGCTCCCCCTATGGGAGCGCACTGACCACTAGGGGAAGCTCCTGCATTGAGTGTCTTCCCCCTGGTGGTCAGTGCGCATCATAGCAACTGGTTGTTCTACCATTCGGTCTATTTGCATATTAGCCTTTTATTATATAGGATATATTTAGAAGTGGAATTGCTGAGTCATAGGACAATTCTAACCTTTTTAAGAATTAAAAAGAATTGCTAAACTGTTTTCCAAAGTGGCTGCATAATTTTACATTCCTACCAGCAATGTATGAGGGTTCCAATTTTTCCATATCCACACTATCACTTATTATTATCTGCCTTTATATTATAGCCACTCTTATTGGTGGGAAATAGTATCTCATTGTTTTTTATTTGCTTCCCCAATGAGTAATGATGTTTAATATATTTTCATGTGCTTATTGGTCATCCGTATATCTTTTTTGTTGAAATAGCTATGCAAATTTTTATTTGCTTTTTATTGGGATATTTGTCTTTTTATTATTGAGTTGTAATAGTTCTTCATATATCCTAGATGTATGTCCCTTATCAGATATATAACTTGCAAATATTTTCTCTCATTCTGTGATTTATTTTGTTCACTTTTTGATAGTGCCTGTTGCAGCAGAAAAGTTTTTATTTTGATGAAGCCCAGTTTGTCTATTTTTTCCTTTCTTTTGCTTATGTTTTTGTCATCAAATCTAAGAAACCACTGACTAATCCAAGGTCACAAAGATTTATGCCTATATATTCTAAGAATTTTATAGTTTTAGCTTTTACATCTAGGTCTTTGATCCATTTTCAGTTCATTTTCTATATATGGTATGAGATAAATGTTCAACTTCATTCTTTTGCATGTGATTATCAGCACCATTTGTTGAAAAGACTACACTTTTCTCCATTTAATTGTCTTGACATCCTTGTCAAAGATCGCCTTATTTCTGGACTCTCACTTCTTTTCCATTGATATACACTGAGTGGCCAGATTATTATGACTGGCCAAATTATTATGACCACCCCATCAGTACAATGAAGGGAATTAGTTATGCAAATAATAATAATAATAAAACCTTGAGAGTATTTGCTTAGGAAGTTTTCAATATTCAGTATTTTGGGAAGTGTCAATGAAGTACTGATGGGGTGATCATAATAATCTGGCTGGTCATAATAATCTGGCCACTCAGTGTATATGTGTATCTCCTATGCCAGTACCATACTGTTTTGATTATTTTAGCTTGGTAGAAAGCTTCAAAATTGGGAAGAGTGAGTTCTCCAACTTTAGTCTTCCTTTCCAAGATTGTTTTCACTATTCTGGGTCCCTTGTATTTCCATATAAATTTTAGGATCAGCATGTCAATTCCTGCAGAGAATTAAGGCGGAATTTAATGAAGATTGAAACTATAGATCAATGTGGGGAGTGTTGCCAACTTAACAACACTGAGTCTTCAGATCCTTGAACACAGGGTGTCATCAGCAGCCTCTTCAGTGGTGTCTTTCAGTCCTTTGGAAATTGTTGAGAGCTTCTTTGGCTTCTGACGGGTAAACTGAAAAGAACCGTCATGTACTTGATTTCTAGTGTCTGAGAGCTACCGTGGGAAACAGACCATGGCTGGTGTAATGGACTCTATTTTCTATTAATAGGAGCCACCCACAGACACAAGGACTCCATGGCCCTCTAGTTCCTCCTTGACTTGCAAAAGCTAAGATTACCCAGACTTCACAATATGTCGTTCCACCTTCTCATAGTTTCTGTTTGGCTCTCAGTTACTAAATGTTAAAACTACATTATTTCAGGGATTAAAGCAGATTTTTGTGACTTCAACAGGCTTCTTGAAGCTCTCAACTGGAATGGCCAGCACTAAGTTCTCAATGACCACAGTGAAACGGAGCATTTTTAACCCCCAGCAAATTTAAAAATTCCCTTACAGAGAGGCCATATCATTTGTTTTGGGCAAAACTCCACCCAGTCTACTCTTGCCTTATGAATATAGAGGAAATGTGAGGTGTTCACTGCTCAAGTATCCACCTGCTTTGATGATTTAGAACCAGCATGTGAAAGGCATACTCTCGCGTACATGAGCAAATCAGGAGCGAGGGTTTGGCCTGAAGCCAGTCAGAAAATGTGTTCGTTGCATTCCACAGTCTGGGTCATGGGGTAAGACAAATTATCCCATCTGGCCTTAGACCTCTGGGCTCCTGTGGGAATGCAGTGGCTTTGTCACACAATGTAATCTGTAATCCTCTGTCCGTCTGTGACTGGCCTGCTTCTCCGAAGGGAGGAAGCTCTATCACGTGTCGCCCACCATTCCTTTGCTTCATGGTCCCAGTGACTTGTTTATCCGGGACTTCTGTGTGAGCATCAGGTC